GGGGAATTCTTTCCTTGGGGGGGCAATTGCCCCCCCCCCCAGATATATAGTTAAAAAAGGCACTGTGCTCAACGCTCCTTTATAGCTCAATCACTAGCTACGAAACTCTGTCTTTGCCCCACCACGAAAGAAACTATTAACCTTTCAGCATTCGGAGCAAGCGCAGCAACAAAGAGAAACCTCGATGTTGCCACCATCAATATTGAAACGGAATCCTCTGGAAGTATTCCTATCTAAGTTCTTATTGTGCCTAAGATTGCCACCCCAATTTAGAATACGGTTAGAGCCCTTATCAAAGATCTCCCCTACCTTAGACAGCTCAAGATCGCTCACCAAGTCACCAGCAACGAGAACTTTGAGATTTTCCTATTAATAGGTGCAGATTGTAAGGATATCGCGTGACTCATCAGCATGCGAGCACATGGAACGTGAAGGAACGTTGAGCGAGCACTTATAGTTGAGTTATAAAGTAAAGTTAAAAGATTTATACATAAAATAAATAGACATAAGAACGTTACATGGTGTCAGAAAAGGGATCTTAATCAAAGATACAAGAACCCGAGATGGCAGAACAAATTCCAGCTCCAAAACCGTTGAAACTCGGCAGCGTTGAAAATTGGCGGCGTTGGAAGAAAGCCTTTGAGCTATACATGACCGCTACTGAGAAAGACAAAAAGTCACAGAAAATACAGTGTGCAACGTTTTTGACCCTGGCTGGCGAAGCAGCGATTACAGTTTACGAAACACTCACGTTTGAAGATACAGAAAAAGATAAAATCGAGCCGTTAGTAGCGAAATTTGAAGCGTATTGTCTTCCAAAGAAAAATTTCACGCACGAAAGGCGTTTGTTCGGTAAAGCAATTTGTGACGGAACTGAAACGATTAGCAAAGAACTGTGAGTATGGAGAACTTACAAACTCGATCGTTAAAGACAGGATTGTCGAAAGAATCAGCAATGACAGAAGTCACAGAACTCGAGCACGGCTTCTTCGAGAAAAAGATTTATCGCTAGAAAGGTGTATAGAAGTGTGCAAAGCAGCAGAGGTTGCCGACAAGTATATGAAAACCCTAACAGACAAGTCACGTAAATCGGAAGAAATTGATGCCATTAGTCGAGGAAAGAATTATCGAAGAGAAACGCATTCAGGATTAACGGGGAACGGCGGTAAAGATCAGATTAAATTTAACAACAGAATAAATTGCAGCAGATGTGGTCGGGGCCGGGAAACCATAGTTATGATAAATGCCCAGCTGTTGGAAAAGAATGTAGAAAGTGTCACAAGAAAAATCATTTTATGAGACAATGTAGAAACCGAGACAAAGAATTGCCAAAATATCCGAAAAAACATCGAGTCGATGCGGTAGAAAACAACGGTAAACAAGAGAGGGACGGTGAACCAAGTGAGTCTAGTGACGAACATGAATTCTATGTTTATTCGACGGAAACGACCGCTGACAAGTCAGATCCATGGATTCTTCCATTGGAAGTAAACAATAGTATAGTTACTTTTAAAGTAGACACTGGCTCGGATGTCAATGTAATGAGTTATAACGAGTTTAAGACACTTCAAAACAAACCGAAGTTGAAACAATCGAAGACTAAACTGAAAGCATACAATAGGGTAGATGTTCAAGTGCAAGGTCAGTGTATTTTATCCTTAAAGTTTAAAGAGAAATCTGTGAAAGCACTGTTTTTAATCAGCCCTGATGATGTTAAACCTATTTTGGGAAGGGAACTTTCTGAAAAGCTAAATCTTGTGAAAAGAACATTTTCTATTGAACAGTCGAACAGTTCAAATAATTTAACGGGCAGCAGGTATAACAATGCAAAACTAAGTGAGAAATATGCAGATTGTTTCGAAGGACTAGGCTGTTTACCTCATACCGTAAAAATCGAGTTAAGAGATGATGCAACACCAGTTGTTGAGCCTTGTCGCAAAATACCCTTCGCGCAGTATGATAAGCTCAAACACGAACTACAACGAATGGAAGCTATGGGCGACGCGTGATTGAAAAGATCGAAGAACCGACTGAGTGGATTAACTCATTCGAGCCAGTTACTAAGCCAAATGGAAACTTGCGTGTTTGCTTAGACCCAAGAAACTTGAACAAATCAATAAAACGTAAACATTTCAAGTTACCTACACGAGACGAAGTTACAGCTCAATTTGCAAATGCCAAGGTATTACTAAACTAGATGCCTCGAATGGGTTTTGGCAAATGAAGCTTGAAGACGAAAGTACCAATCTATGTACTTTTAATACCCCTTTTGGGAGATACAAATACTTAAGACTCCCATTTGGAATCTCCAGTGCCTCAGAAATTTATCATAGAACGATTAACTCTCTGTTTAGTCATTTAGAAGGTGTAGATACTTCTATGGATGACATCATCATTTATAGATCAACCCCACAAGAGCATGATCAAAGGTTGGAAACAACAATGAAAGTTGTGAAAGAAATTGGATTGAAACTTCAAAAAGCAAAATGCGAAGTAGGCCGTTTGCCGTGACCCGATATCGTTCACTTTCATTAAGCATGTCGTGGAACTGAAATATTTTCACGCTAACTAACATTTTAGAACACGCTGAATTCAAATCCGAAAAGTTGCCGCTCCGTAGACCCGCTGTTTTTTCACAAATTGCATTTGTATTTTCAGTTCCTCGACGAACAAAAATAAACACGCGCCATTTTGAAATTAAATAACATCACTCAGAATATGCCGTTTAATCCGTTTTTGCTCCCAGTCTCCGATGCTCATGACCGAGTTCAGATTTAGAGCAATATTATTATATTTGCCAGTGAACTATATACATGGAAGGCTGACTTCAGTCATTGACGTAATCAAAAAGTGAAGCCAAAGATGGCGGATTTTGAAGCCATTCTTGCGCGTCATTCTCAGTCCCCTACCCGCGCGGCCAAACCACAGAATAGGAAGTTATACCAGAAGCGTAACTCGAGCAAATATTTGTCCGCGTTTTTACAAGCGATTCGTCATCAATCACGCCATCCTGGCTAGTACAACCGGCACTTTGTACCTACCAAATCCTGATAAAAACTTCCGGCTGGATGGCGAGTTAAAATTTTCGTGGACGTCAAACAATAAGGGAAACGACTAGAGTTACGCTTCTGGTATAACTTCCTATTCTGTGGCCAAACATTTTTTGTATTTTCATGGCGGGAAGTGATGGGTCCGCGATTCTCGGGTTGTGTTTTTCTTCATTTTAAAAGAGCAAAAAAGGAAATAAACTTCATTTATTTCATGTAAACCTGATTTCCTTCATCTACTCGATCTGTCTACTGCATTTTCCCACTGTATGTGTGAGTAAATCTGTATTTTTCGTTGCGAATTCAACAATTAATTTCAAACTTTTTTGGTTTTTTTTATATAAAATCTGTATTTTTATAAATTGGCAATTTATTTTTGCTTTGGTTGTTTCGTTTTAATTCTTGTTTCTATGGTGCTTTTCAGTTTTCACACCATTATTTAGCTTATTTTAGTCGGTTTTCCTGACCTAAAACTGCTTTTTAACTGCAGTTTTCGAGGCAGTTTTTAGCCAATTTAATTCCATACATGTAAGAAAATTTTGTTTTTTTATTTTCTATTTAATAAAATCACTTTGATGTTTGCCTTATAAACTTAAACTGTTCATTTTAATGAGTTATTCATGTGTGTGAAACTCTTGTCGATAGGGGCAATAGAGATATTTTGAAAGATTGAGTGACTTTGTGTTTTGTTTTGTCACTCCTTGTCATTTTACAAAAACGGCAATCCCGCGCTATTTTGCTTTCTTTCCACTCAAATATCACATCTCCTAAACAAATAATAATTAAAATTTATAACCGAACCCAAACAAAATACCAGAATTCAACTTTTCATTCAAATTTCGTCTGTTTTTCACCAGATTTTTACTCGGAAAGTAAAGAAAAATATAAAAGTTTTGTTGACCGCGCACGTAAGGGGACTGAGAATGACGCGCAAGAATGCCTTCAAATTCCGCCATGTTGGCTTCACTTTTTGAGCTCGAGTCAGACTTCCATGTTATATAGTTCAGTGAAATTTGCTGCAAAACAAACACAGTCACGTGGTTTTAAAAATGGCTATAGTCAGAGTGATTTTCAGTTTATTTGCCAGTAAAATCGCTAAAGAATGAGAAATAAAAGTGTAAATTATTTATTTGGCAGAGAAAAGCAATAAGGTAGGTGTTCTCTCTGTATATTTTTTGAGTTTGTTTAAGGCTAATGG